GACCTGGGCGACTTCAGATGCCGACAAGCCAGCGTCCTCCGCGGCGTCCGCAGGAGAAGCTCCGTCGTCCACCGCTTCCGCAATGTCGGCCACCTGCTCGTCCGACGCACCCGCATCGGCGGCCGCGGCCGCAACCACGTCGGCAGCAGGCGCTTGGTTGTCCGTCGAGTCAGCGACTTGGTCTTCCACGGCATCCACGGCAGCAGACGACAAGCCCGCGTCCTCCGCGGCGTCCTCGGCCGTCGCGCCAGCTTCCACGGCAGCGACAAGGTCCTCGACTTGGTCGGCAGACGCGCCCGCATCGATGGCGGCATCCGCAGCCACGTCGGCCGGCGCCGCCACGTTGTCCGACGAAGTCGACACTTGGTCCACGACGTCGGCGATGGCTTCGGCGTCCAAACCGATGTCATCGGCCGCAGCCGCAGCGGACGAGCCAGAGTCCACGGCCTCGGCCACTTCCACGGCTTCAGACGCAGTCGCCCCGTTGTCGAGGGCGGCGGCGGCCGCGACGTCCGCAGGGTCCGAGACGTTTTCGGCAGAGTCGACCACTTCGCTCACGATTTCGGCCACGGCCTCAGGTTCGAGGCCGGCTTCGGTGGCGGCGAGCGCAGCAGAGTCGCCTTCGTCCACGGCAGCCGCGATTTCCAACGCTTCGCTCGACGACGCACCCGTCTCGATGGCAGCCGCGGCGGCCACGTCGGCGGGGTCCGCGATCTGTTCCGAGGCGGCCGTCACTTCTTCGATCACGTCGGCGATCTGCGAGTTGGACAGGCCGGCGTCCGACGCAGCTTCCGCGGCAGACGCGCCGTTGTCGATGGCATCTTGGATTTCTTCGGCCTGTGCGTCGGTCGCGCCAGCGTCCGCGGCGGCTTCGGCAGCCACTTCGCCTTGCGACGGGACGTCCTCGGCGGCTTCAACCACTGCCGTGATCACTTCAACCGCTTCCGACTTGCTCAAGCCAGCGTCGAGGGACGCAGACGCAGCCGAGGCGCCTTCGTTGTCGATGGCGTCGGCGATTTCAGCCGCTTGTTCCTCCGTGGCGCCAGCGTCCAACGCAGCCTCCGCGGCGATTTCGCCTTGGGTTGTTTTGTCCACGCCTTCTAAAGCATTTTCGTACGAGTTGATTTGTACCACCGGAGTGTCATCAGATGCTGGCAGGGCGTCCTGGGCTTGGACCTTGGCCACAACAAACAGGAGGCCAATCAGTGCGACTTTGGAGAGTTTCATGGTAGCAGGTACGCAACAACAGACTTGAAATGACGCACACAAAGATGTATACCGAAGATGCCCGATTGGAAAATGAGCACTGGATGTTGGTGATGCAAGTACTTAGAAGGTTTGCCACACAATGGCTTTCATGACCTTTGGCCAATCGTTCCAATTTTTAGCCAATCTCGCGGCGTCGAAGATCTCTCGTTAACCAACCAGATCGCTTCATTGTTCAAACCAACGCAAAGGTTGTCATCAAGGTTGCCTGGGACACGTCTGATCAACAAGTATCATTTTTTCAATGAAATGTAATAGTTAGGTTGGAAGGCACCATGCTTAATGCTGAATGTACACGTAGCAATTGAAATTCACAAACGTCCCATCCAAACAGATTCTTAGAAGTAGGTACGAAAGTCTCACAGCGTACTAAGGCACGTTGGTTAGTATCGATCTCCAATCTTACTTTGTTGTTGCTTAACGCTGGCTTGTCGACGTCTGAAGTTCCCCAGGTCAAAGATATTGTGGACAATTCCCCTGTGCTGCCATTCACTACTACCCCTGCTCCAACACCCCGTCTCCGTGGTGCCTGTGACAGCGCTAATATTGTCGCGCAATCGTATTGAGACAGTTTAAGTGTGTAAGCAATTTGTGTACAAGTGTTGATCTTGTGTAACTTCGCACACCAGCAATGATGTTCAAGCAACTCACGTCCACGTTCGTGTGATCGCGACTACGTTAGATGAATTTTCGTTGCCACTTACTACTGCTGCGTTGGTTGTGTGTGCGCTTCTGAATTCCGTCCAATGCCGCAGCTGAATTGTTCGTGGTCGCCTTGTTTGGCATTTTCGTTTCATAGCTCTATCCAACCTTGTCACAGGCTTCAAAGAGGTCATGATGCATCTCACCCAACACAGTAATGCTAGGAAAAGCTCATCGTGAAAGATGAGTTCGACGTCATAGATGTTACAATGCTGTAGGATGTGGATACACGAATGGTTCGCCTACGGTGACCCAGGAAAAACTCGCATGCGTTTTACCATCATTAAATTTGCAGTAGATTTCACACCAGACCAGAAGCAAAAATTCTTCTTAATCTGTGATTGGCTAAATATATTTCAGCGTCTTTCGTGATCTCTGATTGGTTCAGACTCACTGTCAGTCCATGATTGGACAAATATTAAATATGAAGTCGGAGGTCTCTGATTTGTTGATTTGACACACTGTCAATTTCAAACATTGAAATGCGTAGTTCCGTCCTTCCGCAGCCCGCTCAACGCCGTTACACAGTTAAAAAGGCAAATGTTCAGATCCTCCATGCGTACGAAAAAACCACACTCAGCGCGATTGCGATTTGTGCGATCGAAGGCATCCTAGTTCTACATAGCAATCGTGGTTGAAGACGTTCGAGAAGGCATTTTCCAGTTGCGACGTCGAACTGACATTTGCCATTATTTTCTTGAACATAAAGGTTTGGATGAATCTATGGGCATCACAATGTTTTTATATAATTTACAGACACGACATTCAAAACGACAAATTTCGGCCATTTGTTAGGTCAACCGACAATTGCTCACGATGTGGTTGGTCATGGACAAAATCGTATTTATCTTGAAACGACCAAATCGGTGTCAAGAAACTACCATTTCCGCTCGAGCAGGCGAAGCATGGACGAGTTGCCGACGAAGGAGACGATTCAAGCCTCCTTTCATGGAGCATCAACTAAGCGCACGTATGCTACATATCAACGGCAATTAGAAACATTCTTTCGCTCTGCCAATCCATGGGGCGACATTGATGAATGTCACCAAGGACACGTTTGTGTTTCCACAAGTCGCGTGTCTGACCAATGGCAGTGTAAAGATCAACTGGGCAAAAGCTATGAAACAGAATTTTCTGCGAAAACAAATC